TGTGCCATGTGTCTTAATCTGCCAAAATGGGAATAATAGCACTACCTACCTGATTAGGATTGTTGTGATGATTAATACACGTAGAGCAGTTGGCCCTGACACATGGTCAGTACTAACTAGGAATTAGCTATTTTCATCATTGCTGGATCATATTAATATGCTCATTAATATATTCCATTATTATCTCCATTTTTAGACAAAGGAAAGTAAGGCTTAGAGAAATGCAGCAATCAGCTCAAGAGCATGCAACAAGAGAATGGCAGAGCCAGGGTTCAAAGCCAGGTCTGTGTAATTCTCAGGCCCAGTGAAGGTCACTCTCCACTACACAGTGAAAAGAGGTCATGGCCCCCAGAGAGATGGTGCCCATCACCAAGGAGCTCAACTATGAAGGAGCACCCAGCTCTGCAAGCTCCTGTTTCCTTTACCCTGGGGTCAGAGCCTGGGTCCTGGCAGCCTGAGCAAGCTAGGCTCAGCCACCCATCCTCAATATGCCAATTAAAGAGAAACATAATGGTGATACAGATAGTGGCGGTTTTCATTGTGGCTACACTGAGAAGAGGAACAAATAGAGGTCCGGGGACCCCCAAGTCTGTCTTTAGGGCTACCAACATGAGGTTTCAGTTTCAATAAAGAGAAAGAGCTGTGTAGAAGTCTGCTGGGCTTCGGTGGTACATGGCTTTCATCCCAGCACTCAGGAGGCAGAAGCAGATGGATCTCTGTTGATTTGAGGCTAACCTGGTGGACATAACGATTACCAGGCTAGCCAGGGCTACAAAGTAAAATTCTGTCATAAAAAGAAAGAGGGGAGGGGGAGGGAGAGAGGGAGAGGGAGAGGGAGAGAGAGAGAAAGAAGGAAGGAAAAAGGAAAAGAGCTATATAGAACTGAATTATTCTGGTCAAGATATGGTCCCATCCATCATCATTGATACATCATAGCCTGGGCACTGGTCTGCCCTGCAGAGTGGCCTGATAAGTTGTCAGAACTGTGTGCAATCTCTTCCTAGGAGGTGGCAAGTTCCTCCTCTGGCTCACACCAGTGCTTCAGCCTTTCCCTTCTTCCAGCATGGGATTGCCGGGAATTTTTTAATTCTTTTGGGTCCATTGTTTCAAAGGGAGGGGCCCAAGTCTCTCATTAGACTACCTCCTGTCTAGATGGTTGCAGGTCTTATTGTCTCACCTCGAACTTTATGTGTGGGGTGGGGTGGGGTGCCCAGCTTCATGTGCACACCAGCACCCTTCAGCCAGGTCTTAGGGACCAGTCCTCCTTCCAATGGCTACTTACTAGCGATGCACCCTTCCTATTCCTGTTCTCATACTACACAGAGCCCTACAGCAATAAGATCATGTTGCAGCCCTGGACCACCCCTTTCCTAGATGGAAGTGCAACCTCATGGTCCATGAGTACAAGGCAAAGGGGAGATCAGAAGGGCAGAGTTGTTTGAGGAGTAGTGGTAGTTTCATGTAGGACGTAATCTTTGAGCTGCTCAGTTTGCCATTAGTGAGGAATGTTTGAGTCCCTTCACTTTCCCCTTCTTTTTCCTCTCCTCTTTCCCTCCCTTCCTCTTCCTATTGAGACCACCCTTTCCATCCCTATTCAGAAGGGTCTCATTTAGTGTACAGGTTAGTTTTGAACTCCTGGATTCAAACAATCCAGCCTTAGCCTCCCAAGTAATCAAGACTGCAGGCTTATGTCACCGATTCCCAAATTTGAGTTTTAAAGCAGAAGAATGGGATGTGCCAAGGCCCAGAGGCATGAAAGAATATGGTGTGTAAGAAGTGTTTCAGCGCGCCTGGAGTTCAGACTGACTAGAAGGAAGGCATATGGCATAAGCAAATGAGTGGGCATGCCTGCTTATGGCAAGATAGTGAGGAATGCCAGAATCAGGTCCAGGAGTCTTCTCAGGAAGGAGAGCCATTGCAGACAAAATCTGAGATCAAAGGACATACACACACACACACACACACACACACACACACACACACACCACCCCACCCCACCCCACCACCACCTAGGTACATAGAAGGTGGATTGATTAAAAGGAGCAGAGATTTGAGACTAGTTAGACCAGCAAGGAGCTATTGTAATAGTCTAGCAAAATGATGACACGAGGTGAAATAGGGGGACGGGGAATCTGGACTGTCTAGACTGTCTGACCTGTTCCATACCAGGGCCAGGTTTCATCTCTGTGCAGTAAGTAGGGAGAAAGACAGAACTGCAGGGGCGCTGGCCCTCCTTGTTTCAGTTGTGTGCAGGTCCTGTGAGGTAAGTCCTTGCTGCCCACGTCATGGCCAGGTCTTCACACCTCCATTTTGGCCTTTCTCATATTAATAGCCAGTGCCCTACTTCCCAGCACATACCCTACCCCCACCCCATTAGGAGGGTTGCCGAGGTAAGAGGCCCCTACTCTACCTCTGTGTGTGGCAGGCAGGAAGGGGGAGGGGGTGTAGGGAGCAGGTCAGGGCCTGCTCTCTGTCAAAGGAAATATTCACCCTTTTAAGCCTTTAAGACTGTTTTCTTCCAAGTAGGTCCCACAGTTACCAAGGCAACTGAGAACTCTGGGCTTTGTGTTTCTGCGCAGGGTCCCTGGGGAGAGATGGCCTGCTGAGCTTTCCCTAGTCCCAGCAGGATTCAGGAAGTGGTAGGGGAAGGTGGAACCCCACCCTGTATAGGGGTAGTTTCTCACCTCATCCCTTAGGTGTTTATCCCCTGGAGGAAACCAAATTACCCCTTGCCCATAACCATAAGCCAGTTCTGGCCTTGGAGGGCACAGGCTTCAGATCCAGTAGGCTGGACTTCTCCTGGAAAAAAAAGTCTGTACCCATCCTATGGCCCATCTCTCTGTGGATCTGAGGCGGGTATCAACTTACATCAGACCATGGTCTTATACATATATTTCTCAGTCGAGTACTATATGTTAGAAATCTGTTTCTGGCCTGGTTCCTGCTTTGGGAACTATATGGGAAGGCTTGGGAGCAAATGTCACTTAGGCTACCTAGTCCCGGCAGCTGACTGCCATTAGAATTGCCTAGGGAGCTTTTCAGAAATGGGAATCATGGAGATTCTGATTCCATCGGTATTGTTGTGGAGGGAGGATAGGTAGAGGTTATGAGTGTGGGTTCTGGATGTCACATAGGGTGACCTTGAGCCAGTTGTCTGATCTTTCTGATCCTGGTTTCCTCATTTAAGGATCATTTAAAGGACAGAATGAGCGAACAAAAGAACAATCAAGCAGAATTTTATCTGCCTTACTTCGTCTCTTGGGAAGAGGGGTGGGGGGACCCTCATTACCTTTGTCGTCCTTTTACTGCCCCCTTTCCCCCTCCCTTTCTTTTGTTCTGCTATTTCCTTATTCCCAACATGCAAAAGGCTGTTGTGAGGTACAACTCGGTTCCCTTGGGCTGGGCAGACAAGATCCCAGTTGGGCCTATCCACCTTGGGATGTCATCAGCAGTCCAGAAAGGCATGGGTGTCTTCTACACCCTGCCCACTTGCCCATGTACACTGAGGGCCCTATGCTCCCGTTCTCAGGGGCTCTTTCTCACAAGCTTCTTCAAGCCATAGCTCCTGTCCTCAGGCTTTTTGCAGGGTTTAGGTTGTCTTCTTTTTCTGGCTCCTGATTCCATTCCCATTTTTTACTGTAATCCTCTAGCCCTCTAAGCTTTGTTCCACCTACAGGTGCCCTTAGCAGGCCACCCCTAGATCTCTTTCCAGAGGCCTGTTAATATACTTTATTTTTCAATTATGGATCAAACTACTGCTGCTGTTCTGTCATGTACCATGCCATGTTCCAGCCTCTGTGAACTCAACAGTGACCAAACAAGCAAGGAGGGTATGGCCAGAGAGGGCAGGGTTGATCCCCAAAGCACCAGCAGCTGCGGGGCTGGCACATTGTTAACCTTTTCCTGAGTTTCCTCCACCAGCTCTCATTGGCCTTTCTACAACCTGGCCTTTCATTTACCCCTGCCTACAACATCATGAGAAATCCCAGGGCTGTTGAGGCCTTTCCTGACCTCCTGAAGCCTAAGAAGGACCCCCCAATGCTGGCTAGGACAGCTCATGGCCCCTAGTCTTTCAGGACCATCAGCCACATGCTTTGCACTGCCACTGCGTTTATCTGAGAAACGTTAAGTGCCACCTGGTTGCTCCCAGAGCTTCTAGACACAGTATACTATCATAGTACACTTGACCCAGAGACCCCCATGGGACCTAAGATTTCTGAGATTCGGGTTCCTTGATTCTAAAACAAGATACCATTACTGGCCTCTACAAGACAAACACACCTCTGTCTTGAGGGCTGTTTCTCCACTGGATTCCTACAAGTTGGAGGAGTGGGCAGGGCAGGGCAGGGCAGAAACAGAAGACAGGCCTAACCTGTTGGACAGTAGGACTAATGGACTGGGGACAGAGAGAGGCTGTCCTGGGAGCTGACCATGAGCAACTAACTGCAGGGCTGTGAAGGAGCCACTCGCTGTCGTTTATAAAGCAGTGGCTTCTAAGCCCATGTCCTTATCTTGAAGGTGCCACCCAGGGTGGTTATCAGAATGAAGGATAATGGTAGATCCCAAGTGCCTGGCACAACTCACAATTAAGATGGGTTCGAGGGGGGGTGTCTTGGAAAGTTGGGAAAGTCCCAGAATGGAGTACAGTTTTTGTTTTTGTTTTTCTGAACCCTGCGGTCTATTAGAAGCAGGAAGATCTTACTGGCAGGGTCCCTCCATGGCCTGCTCTGGGAATGTTACCAGAGCCTCACACCAGGTAGCATACTGGAGTCTTATAGCACCACCTAGTGTCCAAAAGCGGAAGGACCCTCCCTCTCCACCCTGCCTGCCTCCTCTCTTTAGCACTGTTTGTAGTCCCTGGGCCTTCATGTTTGCTCAAGGATCTCCAGGCTTTGGGCTAACCCAAATTGAACCAGGGTGCCTAAGAAGTACATACCTAATGCCTGCTGGTCCCCCTTTATGCTTGTTCAGTAACACAGACGGACACAATCTTACACACCCTTTATGTTTTTTTATTGAGGAGAGAAAGCTTTTAGCGTACAGAGCAATTTCTTATCTTCATAACACATAATACCACAGTAATAACAGTAACACATTTGTTTCAAAGGGGGTTTCTCTGGAGTCTCTGGGCATCCTTGGGCTACTCCCATACCCAGCATGCATTGCCCCCCACCCCCCACCCCCCTTGACCCAAGGAGGCACCCAAAGCCTCAGACAGCTCCTATAGCTGTCACATCACAGCAAATATTGAAGATCTAGGAAAGGAGGGAGAAGGTCAAAAGGAAACCCAAGCCCCCTCTGCCCCCAGAGGCCTGGAAACTAGCTCACTGCTCATGTGCTTTCTCCCTGGCTGAGGTTCAGAGTGAGTACCATGGGAACAGGCAGGGCCTGTGCTGCGGGTCCCTGAAAATGGGCGTGCAAGGCACCTGTCCTCTGCACTTCTCCAAAGCACATGGGCAGCAGGACCAGCACGTTGACATCAGCAAACAGGGTCCACAGCCTCAGAGAATAGCAGTTTCCCTTCTGGACTCTCTCCTGAGGAAATAAGCTGAAAAACAAACAACAATAATGGTCTTTACAGGGTTCTTTATTTCTGTCCCAGTGGGCATGGGGGAAACAAACAACTGAAGTGTCTAGCAACTCGGGAGGGTGAAATGGTTCTGTGCCACATGGGTGACAGCTACTGGAGAGTCCCACTACTGGAGAGCTTTGAGAAAAGGCAATGTGAGAACACACTAGAAATGAGCAAGTGGTACTTCTGTGTAGCAGGATTCCGAATGTGTGCATGTATGGGGGGAGGGTATTTTGTTCTTAAGTTTCCAAAATTTCCATGACTTTATATGTTACTCTTCTCTCTGGGAAAACATTTTAAAAGGTAGCAACAGATCATAGGAACAAACAAAATTGATAAGCAAAAGGGCATCTTACCTCCTGCTGATGAATAGAGATCTCACCCTAAACCAGTCTGAGGACTAGGTCTCTCTGTGACTCCTCTTCCTCCAGTTCCTTCCTCTACTTTTAGGCCCAAATCCTAGGGCTGGGCTCCTATCTTCAGACTCCCGTGAAAAAAAAAAGCCTCCATTTACTGTTTTCTTCTTCTGGCCAGACACTTGGGCTACATTTGCCCAGCTGCCAGGCACTGTGTTCAGCACCCAGGGGCAAGTTGGGCCAGTAGTGAATTTCGCTGCCATTTTGTGGCCTAGTCCATGTGTGGTTTTCACTGTAGAAGCAGTGTTTACTTGACCCAAAGTGAGCAACAGGTCTCTTCAGAAAGGCAACTGAGTTTGTACCCAGTAGCCCCAAGAGTGTCTAGGAGGCAGTTACCCCTTAAGCCTCACTGTCTAATTGAAGTGCCACTGCAGGCCTCAGGCTGACCCCCACGTGAGAGCCATGAAAGAGCTGGGCAGCAAGGCTGCAATGGGCGCAGTCTCTGGAAAATCAGCCCTCTTTTCTCCTCTCAGAACTGAGGACTCCTTTGAGTCAGAGGGAGTTGAACAGGCCAGCGAGGTCACCTCCACAGCCTTGAGGATAGAGTCTGCTCAGAATCCTTTGGCTGGGGGCTGCAGTTTAAGACCTGGCAGGGGGAGGAAGCACCTGTCCCTAAGGCAAGAGTCACTCCTTAGGATGTCAAATTGAATTGTGCTGTTGCTGCCACCTCTGTCTCCCCAGCTCCCCCAAATGCTAGCCCTTTAGGCAACATCTAGGCCAGATTTGCCCAAGCCTATTCAAGGGCCCTGGTGCAGGAGTCTGAGGGAAAGTAAACTCAAGCACTGAAAGTGGAGTCAGCTTGCCACCATCAGTCAAGAATAAATCTCAGTCAAGCTGTCCATTGCACATGTGGCTTTGCAAACTCTCACAGCACTATGGGTGGGCTCTTCTTCCAGGACCTTCTGCTGGAAATATGGCAGGAAACAAGTTTAGCTTCTAGGTACATTTCTTGGTGCTGTCCTGCCTGCTGGCTAGTAAGTGGCCTCAGTGGCATTAGGAGTTCAATGCAGCCTGTCCTTTTGATCATTGGGGCAGATCAGTGAGGCATTGGGTGAAGTTCTGATGAACCAGTCAGGATAAAACTGTTGAACACAGGGCAAAGAAACACAGGAGAGGCGAGGGCTAAGAACAACTAGAGGGGAACACAAGGGTGACCAGTGCATTTACAGGAACAGGCCCAGAAACTTGATGTCCACCTTGTGCGGAGCAGAATACATGGAAAGAGGGCAGCTGTCACTGACCTCTCCTTTCCCAGGTAGCCTTGGTCAGGCATATTTCACTCTCTAGTCATGGTTACAAGATAGTCTGGAATTCTGCAGGTCTTCTTCAGGTTCTGCAGGTCTGGAACTCTCTTAAGGACTGGTCAGTAGATGGGGCAGGTAGGGCAGCAATAGCAAAGGCAAGGGACGCAGTAGAAGGGTGTGTTCCCAGTAGCCAACTCACCCCAGCACTCACACGCGAATTCGGCCTCTAGCAGCTCGGTGGCCCCCCTGTCTAGGAGTAAGACGGAATAGCACCGGGGGATGTCTTCGAATTTGGCGTTGCCCCAAGCGACCTGCATGGTGAATCAGTGGTGGTGAGCTGTAGAAGGGTGAATTGGTACCTGGAAGGCCCTCCAGAAGTGGGACTCGATTCTGGTTCCTCCTTCTGCTCGAATGTATTATGGGAGGCGATAGGCCCAGGAAATTCTCAGCATGATAGCCAGAGCTAATTGTTTGAGTTGAAGTGTCAACAAGGATAGGTTCTTCCATCTCTATCAGCTCCTCATGTAGGCCATGGTGGTGGGCAGCATGTGCATGCATGTGTGCATGCATATGTGTGTGCGTGTGGTCATGCACATAAACATGCTCGTGCTGGATCTCCTCCCTCCCTTGCTCCTGCTCTGGCTCCTGGACCCTAACCTCAACTTCATCTTCTTCATCCTTATTCTCATCATCATCCTCATTCTTCATCTCATCATTCTGTTTCATCTCCTCCTCTTCCTCCTTGTCTTCTTCTTCATCTTCCTCTTCATCATCCTCATCATCATCCTCATCATCCTCATCTTCATCCTCATCCTCCTCATCATCATCCATCTCTTCTTCCTCCTCATCTTCCTCCTCCCTCATCTCTTGTGGGAAAGCCTTCATGTGCTTCCTCTGGTCATTCAGGTATAGTCTGTGTCTGCCTGCCTCTTCATCCTCATCCTCACTGTAGCACTCTATAGCTTCATTTTCATCCTCATTGGGATTTTCAGCAAAAGGGAAGAAGGCATTTTGAATCCCAGGGAGTGGGTGCACTGGCTTGGGGGCACGCACTTTTTTTTCTATCTCCACACACTCAAGAATCAGCTCATCCAGGTCTGCCATTTCAGTTGACCATAAGAGTTCCTTTTGGAAGAATTCCGACAGGCCTTTGAGGAATTGGTTTTGGAGGCGGCAGTCATCCCAAGACAAGAATTGGGCCAGAAACTGAAAAGCATCTGCATAGCTACTCAGGGTACAGTCTCCCTGCTTGAGCTTGCGGATGGCCTTTTTAGCTACCCGTGGGGGGATGGGGCCACAGAATTCCTTACGGATTTCATCCAGGAAGCGCGGGAAGTTGGCATGCAAGGAGCTTCCTTCCTGGGTGACTGAGATAGCCCACTCTCTAGCTTCTCCTGTGAAAAAGGAGATCAGAAAGGCCACCCGTTCCGCATCCCCTGGGAAATGATCTTCATGGTCTGCTATTAAAGTCTCTAACTGCATCAGAAATTCAGCCAGGTAGACTGGGTCGCCTGAAAAGGGCTCTATGTCAGGCCTCTCCAGCGGTGGCAGAAGGGGCTGTGGAGGTGGCTCCTTTGACGCGGGGGAGGGCAGCTCCAGCGGGGGCGGGCTGGACGACAGAGGAGGGTCAGTGGACTCATCCAGGTTGGTGTAGTCCTGGACCACGTTAATCAAAAGATCATCTGAGACATACTCGGGATCCGTGCGCGGAGGAGGCCAGCATAAGAAGGGCACCTCTTCCTCCGGAGTGGGATCGGTCTCAGTGAGCGGGAACTCAAAGTTCTCCTCAGTAAGGACGGGTACTATGGGCACCGGCCAGCGGATGTAGGTAGAGACATTGCCCCGCAAGGAATTAACCTCAGCTAATGCTCTTCCCAGCTGCAGGCCCAGATGGGCATTCTCTCCGCGAAGGGCATTTAACTCCTCTCGCAGTGCCACATTGGCCAGGCGGAGGCTATTGAGATTTCCTGCCGCGTCTGACATCTTGACTAGCTCCGGGGGGCTTTGGGTCTCCAGCAGTTGGGGGTGGGGGAGCTAGGGACCACGGGAAGAGGCGGAAATGTGGCGGCGGGCACCAGAGGAGACCGAAGTGCGGCGACGGGGCGCCAACGGGTGAGCCCGGGCCACACCCACAGGGGTGAGCACCGAGGATGCTCGGGGCGCGGGGCCTGGCGGCTCCGAACGGGACGCTTTACCTCTGGCAGGGGTAGCGGTGGACGGGCGGCAGCTTGGGATCAGGAGGCTGCAAGCGCAGGATACTGACGGCAGAGAGGACGGAGGCAGGCAGAGAGGGAGGGAACGGACTGCGACAGGATCTGTCGAGGAAAAATCTTGCGGAGCGCGATCCCTCGCCTTTTAAGCGAAGCCACGCGCGCCCCCCGCAGGGGCGGGACTACGGAAACCGCGGGCGCCCACTGGCTGCGCCCGCCACTCCCCGCCCCCGAGGCTGCGCTCTCACTCACTCTCTCCTTCCCTAGCTGCAGCTAACTCAGGTCGGGAAAATGCGACAGCGACTGCCCACTCGAGGTCGTCATGGCGACAGCCAGTGAACGTGTTCCTCTCCTCGGGCAGGCCCCCGAGTGTGGAGGAACTGCTTCGCGAAGCGCAGCTCAATCTCCAGAGCCTGTTGCAAGGTACTGAGAGGGAGGGGGGCTGCGGCCGGAGCCCAGAGGAGGCTGCGCAGCAGCAGGAGGGAGGCAAAGAAGAAACAGGGACCAGCGAGAAAAAGAAAACAGTTCCAAACCTATGGAAAAACAAAGCACACATTCTCCATCTCTCTTTTCACCTTTCAGACTGATTGATGATGCTAAGATTGTTTCCAGGGCTGTTGCTCCCTACCTTCCTGTTCGGTTCAGTAGTCCATGTGCGGAAAGGACAGAGGCAGAGGAAGAGAAATGGGTCTAAGCCCTTGAAAGAAGGGAGTGGGAAACGCCCTCAATGGAGACCCACATTACCCACAGCCCTCCCGTTGTCACATCCCCCACGCCTTGGAATCCTGGCATCAGAAGACAAAGGGGACGGACATCCCTAGGGTCTCCCAATGTGGACTCCACTCCCCCTGTTCTTGCAGTTACCTCCCAACTACACTGAGCTTCCCCACGTGAATCATATCTCTGAGCTGGAGGTATAGTTCAGTGGTGGCATGTACCTAGTATATGCAAGACCCTGGGTTCCATCACCAATACCACAAAAGTCATATCTCATATTACTCTTGGGTTTTTCAGAAGCACCTGGCACAGCATCCCAAGAGGTACCCAGTGGATACTAAATGCACAAAACGCTCTTGTTTCTCCATATCAAGAAATGTTAACTCCAGTGGAGAACAGAAAACAGCTGATGGGCCTCCCAACTGGGATGTAGCTATAACCCATACCTCCCTGCACAGAACAGTGGTGACCTTAGAGAAGCAAGGTACTGAAGGATACCATGAACCCTGTATTCAGACAAAGAAGAGATACCGTGCAGGGGAAAAAAAGAGCTGGTGTGCTGTGTTATCACCATGAGCAGAATTGTGACCAGTGAGCAGAAACTTCTCAGAGGAAGGAGTGTCCTACAGGTGTCTGCCCTAAGACTGAAAAGGCACCTGGAAGGGCTTCTGAGGAGGGAGTCAGAGCATAGAATAGAGATATTGAAGCAAAGAATCCTGACAACAAGCCCCAGTTACAGATTCTGAGTATGTTCAAATGTACACAGAACTGTGAATGTTTGTTCTGAACATTTTCTTCATTTCATCAAAACCATCACCAGTCAAACCCATTCAAATCTTATACCTTATTTTCTCATGTTGTCATTGAACTTTGCCACCTTCTATGTCGCTGTCTTCCTTTTTCTTACTTTTAGCCTTCCTAGACCTGATCCCACCACCCACAGTGGAGCCAAGCCTAGAAAAGATCAAGTAGAGCTCTTTTGACCAGGCATGGTGGCACAAGCCAATAATTCCAGCACTCAAGAGACTGAGGCAGGAGGATCTTGAGTTCTGAAGCCAGTCTGGCCTACATAGTGAGACCTTGTCTCAAAAAAAAATTAAAAAAAAAAGAAAAAGTTCTTGCAATCCGAAACAGAGCTCCAGACTGGACTTCCCAGTGTGGATCTCTTCTTGCTTCACGCAGATTGTTTCCTTGGTAGCAATGCAGAAAACCTGAAGAGCTGCAAAACCTCTGGGAGCAGAACTTGTAGCAAAGGATGTCTATATCCTGAGTGTGTGCTCCCAATTGAGCAGTTAAGATGGGGGCCACTGAGAGGAGGGCACAGTCATCAAAGCAGCACAGCTTGGATTTATTGACTTCCTTTCCTTCTCTGCCATCATGGTCCTGGGAACTGGGCACTTTTTCCATTTCTAAATCCAGTGGCCAGGAAAGAAGCAATGTGAGTCAGGCCTGAAAACTAGTGCAGGAGCCTGACTCATGGTCCTCCCCTAGCCCAGCACTTGGCTGAGGACCCCTAGAGTGTGTCTCCACTATGCTATTTTTCAGAAGAATATGAGGAACAATACTCGGAGGCCAGACTTCTGGGGCAGACCTTCCGCTCTTCTGATGAGGCCCCTGAGCCCACTCCCAGCCCAAGGCCCCAATCTGCCAGGCGTCTGGAGTTTGTATTGATGGTGAGTTGCCTCTTCCCTGACCTGGGAGAGCCAGCGTGCACCTACCGACAGGGCACCTTGAACTGCTTACATTACCCACTGGAAGCTGCTGTTCACCTCTGCTCACCAGCAGAGCTACTGTGAGGACCCACGGGGATGGGCCCCGCACAGCAGACGTGTGGCCTGGCAGTTTGTCCATACTTTCCTGCCTCTGCGAAGACACCTCCAACCATTCTGCCTAAACAGCTGTCCTGTGGGCGCCAGCTCCTTGCCAGTCAGAAGCACAGCTTTTTCATCACCCTTTCTCCCAACAGCCTACAAAACGGCAGCTGAGCGAGGATGAGACCACCACCCAGGGTGTGAGGGCCCCCGAGGCCTGCCTGAGCCTGTCTACAGCCAACAAGCAAACTGCCTGGAATGGCCCCTTCCCTCTACCCATCCTAGAGGAGAAGCGCTGGCCTCAGCCCTGCTCCACACAGTCTGACCTTGTGCCCATCAACATCTCTGGTAGAGTTGCTTAGGACCACCTGTTTGTCTCCCTCCATGCACTAAAGCCCATTCTCTCTGAATGCAGGGGGAGCTGGGGAAGAAAGGTCACCATGTCTGCTACTGACTCACCCTGTACTGCCCAGGTCATGACTCACCAGGGAGCGGAGGCACATGGAACGGGGTTGTAGCTGCTCTTCCTTCACTCCCTACGGGCACTGCCAGTACAACTGATAACCGGGTGATAGCAAACAAAGGTTTCTTAACAGAATATGCAAAAACTTTTATAAACTTGCATATTCTTTTGAGTTTATGTGGAAACAAAGTTTGTGAATTTTGTTTGTATCAAGGAAAGATAACATTGTGAACCCAAAGCTGGGTTTGGAATACACAGATAATAGTCAGAGGGCACAGAGGAAAGGCCTTTCAACCACTTTCTTAGGTACTAAGTCTGCCAAGAAGGAGGGCTTCTCCAGTTTATTTGGCATCTTTCTCAAGAAAGGGACATAATAAGAAAAGACAGAAGGATCAGAAAGGACCCAAGGAGAACCTTGAGTGTAGGGAGACAATATATGCATCTGTCTTAGTTTCTTTTCCTGTTACTGTGGTAAAATACCCTGACAAAGAGTTGAGCGTGGTGGCACATGCCTTTAATACCAGCACTTGGGAGGTAGAGGCAGGTGGATATCTGTGAGTTCAAGGCCAACCTAGTCTACATAGTGAGTTCCAGGTCAGCTAGGGGTACAGAGAGATCCTGTCTCAAAAATACCAAAAAAAAAAAATACCCTGACAAAAATAACTTAAGGGAAAAGAGGTTTTACTGGCTCACTGTTCAAGGCACAGTCCATCGTGGTGGGGATGTCAAGGCAGCAGGAGTTTGAAGTAGCTGCTCACATTGTATGTAGGTCAAGAAACAGAGAGCAATGAAAGCTTACTACTGCTCAGCTCCCTTTCTCTAGTTATATGGTCCAGGATCCCCTGCCCAGGGTATGGCCCCACCCACAATTAAGTTGAGTCTTCTCAAATCAGTTAATCAAGATAATCCCTACAGGCATGCCCACAGGAGGATCTCCTAGGTCATTCTGGATTCTGTCAAGTCATTTTAAATATTTTATTTATTATTTTTATTTTATACATATAAGTGTATTGCCTGCATGTATGTAAGTGCACCCATGTTGTGCAATGTCTGCAGAGGTCAGAAGATGGCATCCAGTCTCCTGGAACTGGAGTTATGGATGGTTGTTAGCTGCCATGTGGGTGCTGGTAACTGAACCCAGGTCCTCTGCAAGACCAGCCAGTGCTCTTAACCACTGAGCCATCTTTCCAGCCCCTAGATTCTCTCAAGTTGATAACACTAACTCTCACAGTATTCTGTTCCCCCCTCCAATGTCTATAAAGAAAAGGACCAGCCACATCAGGAAAGAGGGCAGGGGCCTGATAAATCCAAGACCTCAATCATCTGAAGGGACAAGAGGAAGCCTGGAAGCCAGCATGGGCCCTACTATGTTTGAAGAAGTTGGTGAAAGCACTGGGGGCAGTTCTGGCCATGGGTGGCCATGCTCCCTGGATATGGGTTCATCCACTACCCCTAGAGTCATCTTGAGAAATGAGAGGCAGGAAATAGAGTCCACAGCTAGGGAATTTTGCCAAGAGAAGTAGAACTATGATGAGGGATTCACTGAGCTGTATTGGGGTGCTCTAAGTGGCTATCTTGCCCTCAGTAAGGCTGTCTCTGAGTTTCCAATATGGAACCACTTGCTGGGAAGGGGCTTTAGTAGTGTGGCTGGGAGGGAGGGGAGGCTCTGCTCAGCCAGCTGCTGGGTGAGAAACAGAGAGGGGAACTGCATACCTAGCCCCATGACCCTTCTCACCCTAACTTTGCTCCAACAAGTTCCTGGGAACTAGAGGCTGACTCAGCACTTTAAGAGAGATAGATAGGGCTCAGTCACCACGAAACTGCCAATTTGGGCAAAATGTGGCCAGGTGGCTGTAGTAGACTGTCAGGCTGCTTCTAAATGTTGGGAGTGAATGGATCAGCTTCTTGAAGATATCAGCTCCACCTGGCCCCTGTGAAGACTTTGAGAAAAAAAAAATCACAGTCCGTCCAGGCATGGTGGCACACAGTTGTGGTCCCAGCACTCAGGAAGCAGAGGAAGGATGATCATGAGGTCAAGATCAGCCTGGGTTATACAATGAAACCCTTACTCACAAAAGCAATGCTCAGGGGTTCAGGGGTATATCTCAATGGTATAGTGCTTGCCTAGCATATAGAAGGCCTTAGATTCTATCCTCATCACCACAGGAAAAAAAGAATGATCATAATCGAATAACACCTAGTCATCCCATCACTCAGAAAGCAATGGTTCTCACCCCTGGCTATGCATCTGAATAATCACCTGAAGATTTTCAGGTAATGCTTCTACCCAGAAGTTAAATATTCTAGAATGGAGTCCAGGTATTGGAGTTTCAAAGCTCTCCAGTTTATTTTAGTATGGAACCAGGGTTGAAAACCACTGCCTCAGTTCACCTCAGACTTACAGGTGGCTAGGTGCAGGCTGTGAAACCAAGCACCGAATTGGGAGGGACTGGGAAGAAGTACCACTTGCCTGGATGCTGCTGTTCATGCTCGTTGCTACTGTCATCATCCCTTCTCTCTACCTCAGGACAATTTCCACTGTACTTTAAACAGAAACCAGGATGCACCCAAGTGTCTTTATTTTGGCTACAGGGCAGCAGTTTGATAAACATGCAAGTTTGCGACACTCGTTGTTTAACACAGAGACAGCGGTGAACCCCAAGTCCACCCTGAGGCGGAGGCGGACCATTATTGGATTCTCTAACTTTTCTCAGCGAGACCAAGGTGACCCCAATACCCTTCCCCTGGCCTCCCACAAGTTCTACAACACAAGTGGCATTGTGGCAGTAGGGAACAGGAATAATTCAGAGGAGTGGGACTTTAAATGTCCTGAGAAAGCCAATGTTGTAATTAAGGGTAACTAAGGGTTCTTGTTAAAGCCAGCAAGTGAGTATGGAGAGCAGGTATCCTGGGCTCATAAATCCATAGCATTATCATTATTGTTTTCCATTATAAATGTAATATAAGTCAGGCATGAGGCACATACCTATAATTCCAGCACTTGAGAGGCAGAGGTAGGATAATTGCCAAAGTTTGAGGCTAGCTTAGTCTACATAGTGAGTTCTAGGCCAGTGAAGGACTATGTAATGAGACCCTGTCTCAAAAAGACAAACAAAAATAGTAATGTTGCTGGGTGTGGTGGCCCACGCCTTTAATCCCAGCACTTGGGAGGTAGAAGCAGGCAGATCTCTGTGAGATCAAGGCCAGCCTGGTCTACATAGCAAGTCCCAGGCAAGCTGGGGCAACAGGGAGACCCCATCTCAAAAAGATTAAAAAAAAGTAACGTTACCATATAAGCCAAATTTAGGCAAATAGGTAAAGGCGGGGAATGATCCCCCTAAAATCATCATCTTAACAGAACCATTACAACCATGAAACAAATACTGTGTCCAAAGAGCATAGACTTGGACTGGGATGGAGCTCAGTAGTAGTATACTTATTCAGCATATATGAGGCTCTGGGTTTCATCCCTAGCATTAAATAAATAAACAAATAAAATAAAGCACGGACCAGAGAGATGCAGGTATGAGTCCTGCCCTCTCTCCTTAGTAACCATGGGGCTTTGACTGACTTCTTCAGAGCCTTGGCTGCCTCATCTGTAAATTGAAGCTAGTGATACTGACACAATAGAGCCACTGTGAGGATTAAAGCTATTTGTGTAGTCTGCCTACCATATGCCTGGGATGTTGTCAGTGTTCCACAAATGCTGGCTATTATAAATTATCATATTGGTAATAATAATAATATTGCTACATAACAGTCATAGTCATACATGAGAAAACTTCTGGAGATTTAGAACACCAGAATGATGTCATCACACCTGTGAGTTACTTTGTTTTGTTTTGTTTTTTTATGCATCAAAGGTAAGAAGTGACAGATTCCAGAAATACAGCCAGCCTCATAGTGTACTGTTCTGGTGTACTCCAGATCCACTGCTGGGGCTGCAGGTCAAATGATCTTTAGTCAGTTTGGAAGCCTCTTCTGTTACCTCAGGACTGATGAATGCTGAGGTCTGATGATTTCATGAGCCTAGGGAGAAAGTATGGGGGAAACCCAAAGTAATCCCATGTGACACTTCCACTCTGAAAGGAGTTCTCAAAGCTGGAAGTCTTTGGCAGCCATCTGGCCAATTGAAGGGCACCCTGTGACTCACTGTGTGGTGATGGGCAAGAACCCAACTTCCCGAGCATCCTCATCTGTGAAAAGGAAAAACCAAAGAATTCTGACCAAGCTGTTGGCAAATGCTTCTTGGCACAAACTTGATGTTCTTGTCACAAAACAGCTGATGGGGGGATCCCTTGCTGTACCACTAACCTTCTCTGTTTTCCTCCTCTAGGTCACAGCAGCAGCCCAGCAGGCAGTGTGGTCTGCTCTGCCACTTCAGATGCCAGACCCAGCCACCCAGCTCCACAAGGTGTTCAGGGAAGAGTTGCTGTTGGTCAGGAAGCTCGGTTCCCAAATCTCACCTCACCAGGACTGAGAAACCCTTCTAGTGAGCCTGGAGACCCTCAGCAGGCACGCAGCGGCCCAGACCCTGCTGGCATGGAGAGTATGGGAATGGTGTACAGCGTCCCCAGTTCTTGCAATGGACCAACAGAGTCAACATTCTCCGCTTCCTGGAAGGGAGATGCTTTTACCTACATGACTCCAAGTGCTAGCAGCCAGAGCAATCAAGTCAATGAAAATGGAAAAAACCCTACCATGGGGAATTCTTGGGTTTCTCTGAACACCCTCCCACCTCTGGTCCCTAAGGATGTGGCTACCCTCTTTGTCACTCGTGATAACCCAGCAGGGTGCACTGGGCTACCCAGCTACTCTGAGCACCCCACTCAACGAAGACAAATAGCAGAAAGACCTCCCAAAATTGGCCTTCTGACCCGTGGTACCTCAAGACTGGAGACAGGCCAAGGTGGAGCCAGCAGATTCCGGGAGCGATCACTGTCTGTACCCACAGACTCAGGTACCACCCCAGTGGACTATAATGAAGAACAGAAGGCCAGCGAGGCCTGCATCCTGCCTTATGCCGGTACAAGCTCTGAGGGCAGTAATAGCACTGACAACATTGCAGCCCTCAGTACCGAGCAGGAGGCTCGGCACAGAAGGCAGAGGTCTAAAAGTATTTCCCTCAAGAAGGCCAAAAAGAAGCCCTCCCCACCCATGCGGAGTGTCTCACTGGTCAAAGATGAGCCAGTCCTCCCGCCAGAAGGTGGGTTGGCACTGCCCAAGGACCAGAGGCCCAGGAGTCTTTGCCTCTCCTTGGAACACCAAGGACATCACTCAACTCACCCAGATGCTCAGGGTCACCCAGCTGTGCCAACTCTCAAAGATCCAGAAGGTACACAGTTCTCTCACCACTGGTATCTTACTGACTGGAAGTCCGGTGATACCTACCAATCCTTGTCCAGCTCCAGTACTGCCACTGGCACCACAGTCATCGAGTGCACTCAAGTTCAGGGCAGCTCAGAGTCTCTTGCCTCTCCTTCCACCTCCAGAGCCACAACCCCCTCCCAGCTCTCCATCGAGGTGGAGGCCAGGGAAGTATCCTCCCCTGGAAGGCCCACTGGACTGATGTCCCCTTCTAGTGGATACTCCAGCCAGTCAGAAACACCCACACCCACTGTCTCCATGTCCTTGACCCTGGGCCACTTACCCCCTCCAAGCAGCAGTGTCCGAGTACGTCCAGTGGTACCTGAAAGGAAGTCATCACTGCCCCCAACATCACCAATGGAGAAAACTTGCAAGTCTAGGCTATCATTTGACCTACCATTGACCTCTTCAACCAACCTGGATCTGTCTGGGATGAGTATCTCCATCCGCAGCAAAACCAAGGTGAACCGCCATCACTCTGATACCAATTTTGGGGCCAAACTGGCACAGAAAACTAGTCCAAACCAGCCAATCATGCCCATGGTTACTCAGTCTGACCTCCGTTCTATTCGTCTGAGGTCAGTCAGCAAGTCTGAGCCAGAAGATGACATTGAGAGCCCAGATTACACAGAGGAGCCTGGAGCAGAAGAAGTCTTCACCTTGCCAGAGAGAAAGGTGAAACCTCCCATAGCTGAGAAACCTCCACTGGCCCGAAGGCCTCCAAGCTTGGTCCATAAGCCACCTTCTGTCCTTGGGGAGTACTCTCTGATTTCACCTACTGCGGCTGTGACCCCCAAGAGCTCCATTCCTCACATGAGGCCTCTCCCCCAAGACAGCTACACAGTGTTGCGGAAACCAAAGTCACCCAGCTTCCCCAGTGGCAGGAGCCCCGTGGAGTCAACAGCACCTTCAGGTCTTACCTTCACACCCCTTGCCAGTTCCTCTGGTGCTTTCTTCTCAGGAACACAGCAACCTCCCCAGGCCAGTCTGGAAGATGAGGGCCCCAAGGTGAGAGCCCTGCCTGGAAGAATCAGCTTCCAGAGCCAGGAAGAAGCTGAGAAAAAGATGGGCAAGATTCCACCTCCAGTACCAAAAAAGCCCAGTGTTCTCTACTTGCCTCTCACCTCCCCTGTAGCTCAGATGGATGCCTGCATGGCAGAACCAAGGCTGCCTCTCAGCCCCATCATCACTCTGGAGGAAGATACCAAGTGTCCCTCCACCAGTGATGATCTGAAGTCACCTGATAAAAGAATGACTTTGGCTCTGCAGGTTGACAGTGAAAAGGAGGTCAGCTCTCCAGGTTAGTAAACTGTCTTTCGGCCTTTTCCTTCAATCACAGGAGGAATGAGGGTACAGGTGGAGTTCAGAGACAGAGCAGATGCTCCAGGATGGCCAAATCAGTAGGAGGCACATCTGGAGGGTTTGGGTTACTCTAAATAGGAACTGTGGGTTGGCTTTACTGCTCTGGAAATCAGGACTGACCCAGGGAAGATCTCCAAGACCAAGTCTGGACCAATCTACCCTTGCCTGTGGCACTAGGGTAAGAAAATCAAACTAGGCCTTAGACCACTAAGACTTCAGGATCGCATCTGCCCAACAGGCAGTGCAGCCCCTATCTAAGGAGTTCACCTTACTAGACAGTGCTTTTCTTTAGCCACACTAAATTTAGACTTGTGCACAGGACTCAGTATCCTCCTAGACCAATTCAAGTGCCCTGGAAGGCTTGGAGGCTTCTGAAAAGATGGGCTATGTTACCACCTGCACCCATTTTCAGTGTCTTCTGGAAGAAAGAAAGCACTCTTCCTTGGATGGTTTGAGTCTAACCCTTCCTGGACCTATGAAGACTAAGCCCACTAATGATTCTTTTTTTTTTATTGTTTCTGTTAAATTTTATATTAGTTGTAAGATACATATAACATTTACTATTTTAACCCCTATCATCCATTATTGTTCTCTACCTTATCTTTTGAGACACAGTATCTCACAGAACCCAGAGCTCACGGATTGGCTAGACTGTGTGGTCAACAACCTCTAATAATCTATTTGTCTCCACCCCTCCTGAGCTAGGATCACAGACATCCACAACCACATCTGGTTTTTACATGAGTGCCAGGGAACCGAACTCAGGTCCTCATGCTCGCATGGCAAGTGCTTTACCAACTGAGCCATCTTCCCAGCCCCAAGATTTCCTTTTTTGAAACAGGGTTTCATGATGTTGGTTAGTCGCAATCCTCCTACCTCAACCTCCCAAGTATTGGAATTATAGTGTGTGCCACCATGCTTGGCTTAATTTTAACTGTTTTTAATCATACAGTTTATTAGTGTTTAAGATGCGTGTTGTTGAGTAACCCATCTCTTGAATGCTTTTTCTCTTGTAAAAATGAAAGTCTATACCTCTTAAACAACTCTCTTTTTTCTCCCCTGCTGCCCTGGCAACCATTGTTCTATTTTTGGGGGTGTATGAATTTGACTACTCTGGGCACTTCATTTAAGTGGAGTGATACAGTTGTCTTTTTTTGTGACTGATTTGTTTTTATTAATGTCCTCAAGTCTCAACCTTGTTTCTCATCCTTTTCAAACCCTAATACTAAACATCAAAATCTCATGACCTCCTTTAAGCTGATTTAGACTTTCAGTATAAGTTAATCACTGTGATGAAAGCAAGCAAACACATCAAAGCCACAGGTTATTTTCAAATATGCTTCCTCGGACTCCACAGGCTCCCTCAGATTCAAACAGGACCCATTCCCACCCACCGGGTGAGGATAATTGCTTGACATTGCTCTCAGCATATTGGGTTTTTTTAATGATGTGTTTGAAACAAAGTGGGGGGGGGTACAGCTCAGTGGCAGACAGCTTGTCTAGTATGTGCAAGGCCCTGGGTTCCATCCCCAGCACCAAAAAAAAAAAAAGTTTTTTAAAAAAAATAAATAAGAAAACAAGAATGCTAGACCACCTGTCGTAATGAAAAAGGGCTTGTGAGAACAGGGACCTGGGTCAGTCTTCATGTGGACATTGAAAGGCACTGGAGCAAATTGTTAACTCTCTGAACTTCATGTTCCCCCTCTGCAAAATGGAAACATTAAAAGTCTCCACTCTGCTGTGCATCCAGATTTGCCTTGAACATAAAGTGAAATAACATGAGATTAGATGTGCTTTGTCCTATCTATTCTGGTCAAAGTCATTCTTTCTGGTTCTTATGCCTAGGGAGTTCTATGGACCCAAGCACCGAAGAAAAGAGTTTAATCAGTGATAAAACAGCCGAATGGATTGCAGAGGAGGAGGATGACGTGTTTGTGGCTTCACGCACAACTGAAGATTTATTTACTGTGATACACAGGTCTGCACCAGTCTTCATTGCAATTGTGATTGCCTTCCCTTTTTCTTCTTAAAGAAAAACTGCTACCTCTAAGCAGCGGTTAGAATTGCAAATGGAGATTAATTCCAGATACCTACATATGTGAGCACAGTCTGGGGCCTTAACATCTCAAATTCACTGACGTCTTTGGATGAAGTGGAGGAGGGGAGGGGAAAGGAAGATCAGGTGCTGAAAGAGGCCCCCTGTCTCCTAGCAACTGCTTGGCCTATTGTGTCTCCATCTGCTCCCTCATAGCTCTGTCTGCAGTCAGAGACATTTAACCCTTCACAGAATTCTTTGTACCACAAAATCCTGTCATAAGGTGACATGAGGCACTGGGCAGCATATCAAAGCAGGGACTTAGGCAGCGGGGGAAATAAAAGAGGCATAGGGGCATGAGGCAGGGATTTGGTGATGAGGAACATGGTTCTAAGAGCCCAGTTATTGGAAGTGAACCCCAGCCCAGATGAGAACCAAACCCCTAGCTGCCCTGATTAAGTCATTGAGCTTCTGGTCTTTACTCCTTAAGTTTTTCTTTGATCCCAGAACCTGAGAAGGACTGAGCCTGTAGGCATAGGGCAAGTGATTCCAGCTCTGGGCATTGAAAGGTGTGTGGAGGACAGGGGGCCCTACAAGGGACTTGGAAGGAGCTAAGAGGTGAAAGGCAGCCAATTATCACAAGGCTGTCACATGCATCCTCTCCAGCACATCCCTAACTGGCAGTTCTGTAAAGCTGTGAGAACTGTCTGCTCCCTGAATTCACTCAGACCAATCTTTCTCTTACTTAGGTCCAAAAGAAAGCTTCTGGGCTGGAAGGAGCCTGGGGAGGGCTTCACGGGCAACAGACCCAGCTCCCATTCACCAGTGAAGAGCACAACTGATTCTCCCACCAGTGAGTGTGCTGCTGCCACAGGGCCAGGTGGCAGTGCAAGCCTCGATGCTGGCCGAAATGATGAGTTCAAGGCCTTGCTCCAGAAGAAGGGAAGTAAGGCAACTCCTAGGACCCGCCCCTCAGCCGCCGAGCTGCTGAAGACCACTAACCCACTGGCTCGGAGAATTATTGCACAGTTCTCAAAAGACTATGAATCCACCGACAACCCCAGTACCTAAGCCCTGCTTTCTACAGCAGGGCTTACTCACTAGACTTGAGTAGAGAAGGGGGAAGACAAAGGGTTTTAGAAAGTACCCACAGCAACAACAAATGAACCTACATGTCTTAGACATTAACTCACACTCTGGACGGCAAAGAGGCTAGCACAACTAGAGCTGAGCTGGCCGGGCACCTCGGATTGGCTTCAGACACTCTGCATTTCCATGTTTCCACCCTTTCCATGACTGAACACTGAGCTCCTTCTTGTTCCCCAGTGGTGTGCACCAAGAAGAGATTCTCAGATGTGAGGGTCTGTACTCCACCTTTTCAGTGTCCCAGCTGTTTCGTCCATTGGCTCCTATCACTGAGAGGCACAGTGGGAGAGCAGATTGGGGTCTGCCAAACCAGGGATGGGGACGGGCTGCAATTTCATTGCTGATTAGCCACCCTCCCTGGGAAGCCTGATGGCCCTACGTGAAGACACAGAAAGACACCAAGGCCTCCTCAACCACAGTGTGACTCTTCTCCAGCGAGAGTTTTGCAGGCGTGCACTAATTTCAGCATGGGGTTGATTGGATGGTTTTTGTGGCGCAAAATATGAATGTGACTCTCCCAAAACTTCATGCCTTTTTTCAGTTTGATTGTCTATGCGGAGATCAGGGTGATGAGTTTTAATAAACTTCTAGAACCTCCCCCTCCCCCATTAGCTAGAAAAGGTCAGGACTGGGCGGCTTTGGCTGAACCAAGCTCAGTGAATGAATGGGGCAGTTGTTCACTCACGTCTAACCAAGGTAACTCGCATGTGCATCTTGAGGTCTTTCAAGTATCTGTCAACGTGAGTAGCCAGGATCTGTGCCCAGCTCATGCTGTACTCTGAGAACGCTCATTTCATTTGCATGTAACAGTCATTACAGGAAGTAATTAGGTGAAGGACTGGCATCATCAGAGGCTCTGGGTGTAGAAAGTACGTGTATATTACCCCACACCATTCAATTCAGATCATGTTCTATGGTTGTTTGGGTTTCGTTTAAAGGAAGTCTGACTCTGTTCCCAAAACCAAGAACCTGTAGACCAAAATAATCTACCCAAATTCTAAAAGGCAGTGTTGCAAATTGCTATGGCCCATAACACAAAAAGGGCTACTTTTTGCCATTGATTTACTGCTGTTTGACCAACTTTCAGTTAACCATGGTGGGGGAGAACACAGCAAGTAAGGTAAATGGAATGCTTAAAGAGTTCCAGAACAATTGTTGTGCACCCCCTGCTCACACACACACACACATACACACACACATACACATTCCAAAGCCAAAAGGCACTGAGCTGTCCTTGCCAACTCGGTTTCGTAAGTAGAGCAAGAGTACCTGATTTCCACACATGTGATTTTGGAGAGACTGGGAACCAAATAGGCAGAGTTCTGAAGAGAGAAAAACTGCTGGTTAGTGTTGGAAAGTTGATTGTCTGCTGGTCCCAAGAGGCCAAAAGAAAATGAATGAAATTGTAGCCTGCTTCACACACAAAGGTTCCTGACACCTTCCTTCAGCACCTCCTGACCTAACAGATATCTTGGTTCATCTCCTAGAGGATGCAGTAAGAGACAAAAAGATGTTGATTTTGATAGGCCACTCTCCTCACTCATGAGAAGCAAGCTCTTATTAGCTCAACTGCCCATACTCTAGCAAGACAGAGTGGCTGAAAAATCTACATTGAGTACTGAGAAGACTTGGGCCTCCAGCATACAAGCCCTAGGCTGAGGCCCTTGGTTGGTCTAGTTCTGAATTCTAAACTAATGAGAATAGGCCAAGCTTACCAACACCCTTGCAATTAGCACTTCTGTCTCTGATTTATAATAATAAACCACAGTTCTTTCTAAAATATTTGAGTCATTTAGTTTGAAGATCTTAACCAAGTTTATGAGTTTTGCATGAAATAAAACAAGAGTCAGGCCAGGCATGGTGGTGGCACATGCCTTTAATCCCAGCACTCAAGAGGAAGAGGCAGGCAGATCTCTGTGAGTTCAATGCCAGCATGGTCTACATAGCAAGTTCCAGGCCAGTCACAGTTACACAGTGTGAGCCTGTCTCAAAAGAAACAAGAGTCAGTCCTGGCCTTATATATGAATGTCATACTTACCTGCCCCAAACTCAGAATTCCAAAAGACAGAGACATTTCCCTCTGAAGGGAAATGAAGAAGTGCTTGTGCTTTTGCAAAGGGCTGCCTGTGTCTGCTCCTTTGGAAGCATTATGAATAGCTGAACTCTAAAGTTTGGGAGTATGGGACTCTGTATAGGACTTGCTACTCTTGCTGATTTTTCTGGAAGCTTCTTGTTTGTTCTTTCTAACAGGTTCTGCCTCCTCCCCTTTACCTTACTACCTCTGGAGCTTTTCCCAAAAGATTGTAAAGCTGAATGCTCAGACAGCTTGAGGTTTTTCAGTTACCCGAAGCCTTGCTTTCCTCTACAAATCTCTGTATGCCTAGAATTTTAGAGCATCTTCTACGTCGTCACTATGATTCTCAAATGCCCCGTGTTGTCAAATTAGCACAAGAGGATGAGGATTTGGGGCAGAGACTGTGTGGTCAGAGAAAACAATTAGGACTGGAAATATTCATTCAGTATTTTGCAACAGGTTGAGCTATCCCTAACCAAGCAACCAAATTGTAAAAAAACAAATCAACAAACAAAAACAAAACCTACCAGTCACTGATTAACATAACACCAAGAATCTTTCCTAACATTCACCCTCTCTCCTGTCCATAATGTAGCACCAACTCTCCCCTCACCCTCAGCAGTATCTGCTGCCTGCAGAAGATGCAGGAGAGGGATAGGAGCTCTCAGCGAAGCTACTACCAGTGTTATGATGGACAGTATGAGAAAGAATGAGAGCAATCTCTAGAGATGGAATATACAAGAAGCTGGAGAGAAATGCAATTGGCCCCTTGTGGTCAGCCTCCACTTCAAGCTGTTCCGACCCCCTTGTTTTCCCTCCAGACAATAGTGACAGGTGGCTTTGCTAGAGTGACTTCAGTGTAATGAAGAGTAGAGGGAGCCATCCCCCAAAGAGGCAGTTAATGGGCGTTTACCTGCTTTGCATCTGGTAGGTATTCATTATGAATTTGTGGTTCAAATGTGGATGGTGGAGAGCCGGTTAGTCTTAGTACAAGGGCTGACCTTGCTGGTGTCTCCTTTCCTTTGCCTGCACTATTGGCCTGCCTGGGCCTCCCACCCGGCTCCAACTTGTCCTCCACCCCAACACTCATGCACTCTACCCTTAGCCAACAGCTCAACCATGAAGGAGTCAAGGCCACAGGCAGCCAACTCATTCACATTAGCTTCACGACCACAAGGTAATCAGCTGATCCAGAGAAACGACCTTGAATGTGCAAAGATGGGGAGTCTCTAAGGCCCCCCCAACAGGCATTTTGCCTGTCATCTACTTTCAGTGGCACAGATCCAGTCGTGGTCTCTGTGTACCCGTCACTCTGAGCAGCTCTGCCCCTGTACTTGCCCTCTTTCTCATTCCTGAACCAGTCCAGAAAACCAACGAGTTGTTAGTGCTCTGTTCCTCCCTGCTTCTGCCTTCCATGTTTACCAAGTCTGTAACACAATGGTGAGCTTTTACTTTATTATGATTTTCCAGGGCCAGGACTAGGGTGAAGCGATTGAGGTGCTGAGGGCACAAAATGTACGGAGACGCCTGCTCTCAGGGCCCTGCAAGTGCCTTACCCTTGCCCCGGCCCCATGATTTGCACTCTGTAAAGTAGTATCAATTGCTCTTCTTCCAAGTGTGCTTCTGATTTGGGGATGGGTAGGGGTAATTATCTGTTGTACCAAATGTTTCCTTGCTACTTTTCCATTCATTGCCAGAAGTCTTTTTATACCTAAGCATTAAAGGATCTTCAGTATTACCACAAAACATAGTTGATTTCTAAATAACCCGCTCTATGTGGCAAGTTAGCACCCAGTTCCAGTGGGACACCATGGGCAGAGCCCTTCAACAAAATAATTGAATGAGTTGGAGGCCTGTCCCTGTGATCCTCTGTTCTTTCTGCTCCATTCATCCCTGGCCCTCGTGGCCCAGCACCGACTCTCCTCAGTGCCTCCTACTTTGTCCTCCTCCTCTCTAAGAGAAACATGCTCTCAGGAAAGGGATAAATTCATTTACTTTGAGATTGTGAGGCGTAGTGCTACCTTTTTTGAGGGTCACTTGCATTTTAACAGGGGAAAAGCCTTAAGCCAAAGGAATGAAGTTCTACTTACAGAATGTTAGGCATCAACCAGCTGTAGAAATGTATTTTTCACCATGGAAAGACTAGATTCCCTGATAGCTGACTCCAGAGTATAGAAAATATCATTATCTCCTGGAATCATTGCAGTTAGTAACTGATGGTCAATTAAGGTATCCGGATACCCATATTCAATATGGTTGCTACCAAGGGACTCTAAGGAAAAGCTACTTAAAAGCCTCTGAGAAGGCCTAGATCAATCATTCATATTGTACATTAACATGCTTGTGTAAATGGAATTAATACTACTTACCATTTGGGTAAAAAAAAACACAAAGATTTAAGGAGTTTGTGAAGATGTGTCCTGTTTGTGAAAGTGAAACTGTCTAATCCATGTCTGATCTGTATCAGTCATCCAGTATCAGTGGTGTTTATTAAACTAATTGGAGGTACAGCTTACTAAGCACAATCTGCCCCCCGTACCCCACCATTTCATCTCTATTATGTGCTATGACTTCAGCTTGGTGTGAGAATGAGACCTTATCTAAACCAGAGCCCCCAGTCCCTTCAGCGCCTTTGCATGTGTTCCAGCTATAAGTGACAGACAGTAAAGATTTAAAAGGACAGGAGAGTATGAAAGAGGTACAAAAAGTGCCTTTAACAGAGGTCAGCAAACAAAATAATGATTTTTAAATTGTATGGAATAAGCCAAATATTAGAATACTTTGAAGTCGATTTATAGAGGACTATGGTGGTAAATGGTTATGGATACATGTTTGAGGCACTTTCATAAGTTTAGCCAAAATAAATTTGCATAAATCTGCATGGCCAGTGAAGGTCATGTGAAATAAGTACATACTTTTGTTCAGTAAAGATCCAAACCTAGGCCAGTGGTTCTCAAAGTGTGGTCTTGGAACCACCAACGGTGGAGTGTGCATGTGTGTGTGTGTGTGTGTGTGTGTGTGTGTGTGTGTGTGTGA